TGGTATTGGTGTTTTTTTTAAAAAATACATTTAATGGGGCCGGGGAGATGGCTCAGTGGAATAAGTGCTTCCCTGGCAAGTGCAAGGGCCTGTGTTCAATCCCCAGTTCCAAAAAAAAAAAAAAAAAAAGGTTATTTCTTTATTTATTGCCGATTCAGCCCACCCTGGGGACAGGACTGGTACAGCATGCGGTGCCGGCGATTAAACTATCGTCACTGCACTTGCCCAAGACTGTCTAAGCAGGTGTTTTAGATGGCTATCTCGCAGGCCCCTGGTATTGGTGGTTGAATCCAGACCCTTCACACTGAGCTACAGCCCCAGTCCTTTAAAATTTTTTTTTTTAATTTTGAGACAGTCTCAATGCTAAGTCACCCAGGCAGGGGTCATACTTGTAATGCTCCTATATCCGCCCCCCACCCCACCCCAGTGCAGGGATTAAGAGCTGGGGTTCAGGGGCCTGCCAAATAGCTCAGTGGATTAAAGCACCTGCAGGCAGGCACAGGGGCAGGGGGTTCGATCCCCGGGCCTGGTGTGCCGGTCCTTGGGGTGCACTGAGACAGCAATTGAGACAGGGCATGGTGGCGCCTGCCTGTAATCCCTGCTCTTGGGAGGCCGTAAACAAGCAGATCACTATGATTCTGACCTAGTAGTGAGACCCTAAACACCCTGTAGACAAAAAAAAAAAAGTCCCTAAAATACAAATAAATAAATAAAGAGCTGGGGTTCACCTCCCATTTATCTGACTCAAGTTCTGTGACCCTTAGGGGAAGCACTGGAGGGAGAGGCTGAGCTATGACCTCCTCATCCCCCAGCATGCACAGCACACAGCAGCAGGGCTAAGGGTAGACCATGGGAGGGCAGGGGAGGTAAGGCCTGACTCAGCCTGACGGCCAACACCTCCCTCCCAAGGCTGGTAGGAACACTGGCTGTCAACTCTGAGGTGTGGATCAGGAAACGAACTCCAATTAACCATCCTGAGGTTTCCCGATAATGAACATTGGCTCCTCGGCCCTGATGCAGGGCTCATTTGTAAGGGGCTGGCTGCGAGCGAATGGCAGAAGGCCAGAAGGCTAGGCTGAGCACAGGGAAATTGTTTCTGGCTTAAGCGGACCCAGCTGACTTACTGAGGCAGCTGCTTGATGCCAAGGTCAGTGGTCTTTGCAGGAGTAAGGCTGGAGCAGGAGGAGGATAGAGGAGCAAAGGGGCCAGGCCCAGGGAGGACTGTGGCGCTGGATGGCTGTGTGCTGGGGGCCACTGGCTCAGGGATCTGGTGGACTGGAGGGCAATTCAGATACTGCTGTGCCGGGGAACCTCAGTGGGAATCCTGCCTCCCACACTACATAGCTCTCTGGGTCTGAAGCGACGTGCAGAAGCAAGCTCTGAGGCAGGTCCTAGCTGAAGCAGTGGCTGTGTCTGGAGGCCTCTACCCCGGGGCTCTGTGCTGCTGGTCCATGAAAGCCCTCTGGAGCGCAGCTCAGCCAACTCCCCCCTCCCCCAAACACCCCAAGTCTGACTGCAGGCACCTCTGTGACATCCAAAGCCAGAGACAGTCTCCAGGCTCTCAAGGGCCAGCCAGAGTGGCTGCGCTGTGAGCGTGGGTCCCCAAATGTTCCAGCCTGGAGCCCTGGAACAGGGCATTAGTCAGGCGAGGTCCTTGGGCCCTGGAGCTGCTTATTGAGCACACTGTCTTGTCCTTGTGGGCCCTGAGGTCCAGCGTTAGGGCTGTGGCATTGTGACCTTGCTTTGGGCCCCAGAGCTGGGATCTAGGGCTTTGCTGGGATGACTGACTACAGGCCCCAGTCGGGCCTGCCCCCCAATACTGGCCTGGGCTCAGCATCTTACCCAGTCTGGGGAGCTGGTATGGGACAGGAGCTTTCTCCCAGAAGAGCTTTACCCCAGACAGGGGCAGTTCTTACTGCCTGCCCTGGGCTAAAGATGCATCTGGCCCCTGGTACAGAGGTAACATTTGCCTGCCAGGGCGAATCCAGACATCAGGACCCTTCTTCCTCTTTAGCCATCCTCCCTCGCACCCTCTGGGGTCCCAGCTCTGGCGCAGGCCTCTCCTCCCCCAGCCACCCAAGGTCAGCCAGGCCCACTGCCCATCCAGCCCAGCCCCATCGTCCTGTCTTTCCCCAGGTGACCAGGCACACACCTCCCCCACGAGCATGCCGTTCATGTCTCCACAAGGAAACAGCCAGAGCTTGGGTCCAGAGAACAGTGAGTGCTGGCAGGGCCACCACAGCCACTCGGTCCCTACCAGCTACTTCCCGGGAGCACTGACAACCATTTTGACAACCTAGCAGATGACGATAAACCTGGGCCAGACACAGTCATCCCCAAGCAAATTAATTTTTCTTTCTGAGCTTAGTTTCCTACACACCTATAAGAGAGAGGATGCAAAAAAAGTGGTGACCTGACATTTTATTGCAAACACCAAAGCAGAGGCCTGCAGGCACACAGTAGGTACTCAGCAAACACCCTGGCCCTCTGTTAGGAAGCAGTGGACACAGCCGAGCTCTGTGTGTGGCTCCAGCCCCAGCCTCTGCTGCCACCAACCTGCTCCCTCACCCAGCCCTTCCAGCAGGAGCAGCACAGGGGCCCTGGGACACTGCCCAGCTGAGCAAGTGCTCAGAACAAAAAGTGACCACAGGATTTTCACGCCTGTAACCCCAGCACTCTGAGAGGCTGAGGCAGAAGGATTGATTGAGTCCAGCCTGGACAATTTAGTGACATGGAAAAGTCCTGGGGTCTACAGATCCAAGCAAAGGCCCCAGGTTCCAAAACCCAAATTACCATCCTCACCACTTCATCGGGATAAGATCAATAAATATTTGTTCTCGCTCCAGCCTCTGCCCAGTCTGCCACAATATCAACAGCTTCCGGAGCACTGGCAACAGAGCCAACCCAAGGGGAATCTCCGCTGAGTTCTCTCCAGCCTCTGCCCAGCCAGCCACCAGGGCCCACTTGGGTGTTTCCTGACTCATTCTGGTGTCTGGGCCAATTTTATCTGACTGGTTCTTCAGACAGATTTGGGGTTACAGGAAACCTCTTGGCTGGAAATGGGGCAAGTCAGAGTGGCTAGCTGCCCAGCTGGCTGGCACACGCTTCATGCCTGACCTACAAGCCACCTCAAACCCTCTGTATCTGCATGGC